CTAAAATGATGACAGAGGTCAGTAATTTGCACCAGAGGTACACTTCAACTGTGAGAGACAGAATGTGAAAAAAAAAATCCATGAATCCACATGGTAGGATTTGTAAAGAATTTATTCGTAAATCAGGGTGGAAAATAAGTATTTGGTCAATAACAAAAATACAACTCAATACTTTGTAACATAACCTTTGTTGGCAATAACAGAGGTCAAACGTTTACTATAGGTCTTTACCAGGTTTGCACACACAGTAGCTGGTATTTTGGCCCATTCCTCCATGCAGATCTTCTCGAGAGCAGTGATGTTTTGGGGCTGTCGCCGAGCAACACGGACTTTCAACTCCCGCCACAGATTTTCTATGGGGTTGAGGTCTGGAGACTGGCTAGGCCACTCCAGGACTTTCAAATGCTTCTTACGGAGCCACTCCTTTGTTGGTGTGTTTTGGATCATTGTCATGTTGGAAGACCCAGCCTCGTTTCATCTTCAAAGTTCTCACTGATGGAAGGAGGTTTTGGCTCAAAATCTCACGATACATGGCCCCATTCATTCTGTCCTTAACACGGATCAGTCGTCCTGTCCCCTTGGCAGAAAAACAGCCCCATAGCATGATGTTTCCACCCCCATGCTTCACAGTAGGTATGGTGTTCTTGGGATGCAACTCAGTATTCTTCTTCCTCCAAACACGACGAGTTGAGTTTATACCAAAAAGTTCTACTTTGGTTTCATCTGACCACATGACATTCTCCCAATCCTCTGCTGTATCATCCATGTGCTCTCTGGCAAACTTCAGACGGGCCTGGACATGCACTGGCTTCAGCAGCGGAACACGTCTGGCACTGCGGGATTTGATTCCCTGCCGTTGTAGTGTGTTACTGATGGTGACCTTTGTTACTTTGGTCCCAGCTCTCTGCAGGTCATTCACCAGGTCCCCCCGTGTGGTTCTGGGATCTTTGCTCACCGTTCTCATGATCATTTTGACCCCACGGGATGAGATCTTGCGTGGAGCCCCAGATCGAGGGAGATTATCAGTGGTCTTGTATGTCTTCCATTTTCTGATGATTGCTCCCACAGTTGATTTTTTCACACCAAGCTGCTTGCCTATTGTAGATTCACTCTTCCCAGTCTGGTGCAGGTCTACAATACTTTTCCTGGTGTCCTTCGAAAGCTCTTTGGTCTTGGCCATGGCGGCGTTTGGAGTCTGACTGTTTGAGGCTGTGGACAGGTGTCTTTTATACAGATGATGAGTTCAAACAGGTGCCATTCATACAGGTAACGAGTGGGGGACAGAAAAGCTTCTTACAGAAGACGTTACAGGTCTGTGAGAGCCAGAGATTTTCCTTGTTTGAGGTGACCAAATACTTATTTTCCACCCTGATTTACGAATAAATTCTTTACAAATCCTACCATGTGGATTCATGGATTTTTTTTTCACATTCTGTCTCTCACAGTTGAAGTGTACCTCTGGTGCAAATTACTGACCTCTGTCATCATTTTAAGTGGGGGAACTTGCACAATCGGTGGCTGACTAAATACTTTTTTGCCCCACTGTAAGCTTTTGGAAAGTAGTGTATGCAATGTAATGTCTTTTGAAATGATGCAAACACAACACTATGTGGGGCAATAGAAGGAGATGTGTAAACTGAGCACAAAAGTTTAGCATGGATATGGTGGGCAGGATTTTCTGGGCTTCCCGACCCAGTTTGAGCACTTGTCACAAAGCTGCAGGGCTCTTTATGAAGCTTAGAAGCATGTAGCCCCCACACAAGCATTGATACATCTTCTTCTACTCTTCTCCTCTCTTATTGTCCTCAGTTTCATTTTTCCAGTCCTTTTCTAGCTGTGTCTTAGTTTCATTTCACACTTCCGTCTCCTTTTGCTCACCACTCTGCTTGCATTCTTCGTGCTGTTGTTGTTCCTCCTGTCATCAGTATCACGTTGTCTGCATGAGTTCCTGTCAGCCACTCGGCTGCTGATTCATCCCTTCAACCCATTTGTTCTTTAGAAAAGGATCACTGCACTGTCTCTGCTTTGCCAGAGGCGACAGTGAAATCTGTTTAACTGCTGGCTGAACGAAGATTTAGCGTAGAGGGAAATTAAATGCGGAGAAACAGGAAAATTCAATTATATGTGTCTATCTAAACTAAACACAAACAGGGGCATTGCAATGTGTTCGCATGGTGTTTCCACATGTCTGCACTTTCCAATTTGGGAAATGCAGTTATTCACTTTGTGTTCTTTAATTAAATGCTTTAAAAAAAAAAACAACCCCATCTCTGTTCATCTTATTTCGCATGAAAAAACAAAACAAAAAACACTGTTATGCCTTGATTTGGCTTAGCTGTAACTCAACACCTTTGTCTCATTTAATATGTGTAGATCTGTGAATATGCAAATTCTGTCCTGCTCTCCTCGGTCAGCTACTACTACCTCCATCTGCCCCCTGCACACTCCCTGTGCACAGTGGTGGTCCAAACTTCAAAACTGAGTGTTTTGTTAAGCACAGGAGGAAAAACCCAGTGTTCAATTTGTAAAGCAGGAGATATGCTGTACAGTGAGGCTGCTGCTCTGCGGTCAGGGGAGAGACATTCCTGGAACACACACACACACACACACACACACACACGACACACACACACACACACTACCGACAACAGAAAACAAAGACTAGGTGTAGTTTTAAAAACTAAACAAAACAAATAATTTAGGCAATTTAATACTCGCTGGGAAGCTTTTAGTGCACTTATAGTAAGGTCTCATAATGATGCTTTGTAAGTCTGAGATTTTTAGGTGTACTCAGTCTAGAGAATATCAAAGGAGAGTAAAATAACAGGCCTGTGTTTACACTTCCATGCCTATTTGTCCTTTTAGATATTACGTGGATGATTATTTTCCCCTAAAGTACAACAATTTTCAGCATCTTGACATCCTCCTAACATGGCAATGCTGCACAGCAGCAGCTACTACTATGAAATAAGTAACGGTATAGATTACTATTGCAAAGTAATAATAGACTTCGTGGACCTCGTTACTGCGTACTAAACCGATTTTTCGAGAATGCATACAGGACGAAAGCACGTTGTACAACAGCTGTAGACACGGACATAATCATCAGAAGAACGGCAGTAACGTGGAAGTTCCTTACTTGATTGATCTTGCACTAGTCTGTTGGGAATTCTTTACGAAAACCCACTTCCAGCACCTCACGACTATGGGAACTCACAAATCGCGTCATGACGACCTGCCAGGGTAAGTACCACGCTTTCAGGTAAAATACAGACCTGAGCTTTACAATCGTGTGTTTCGATCATTACGAGGTAACACAATTTATTGCGAATGTGCGAAAAAGGAAAGATTTAGCGATGTGCTATAAATTTTCTTGACATTAAAGATTAAACTATAAAGTTAAAGACTATGAACTTTGTTATCAGAAAAGAGAATGTGAATTACACTTATCATATCAGGTGTATCGTTAAAAGAATAGTCTAAATACTTTAATAGTAATCTAAAGTAAGTCTTTTGGATATCAGTAATAAGATATTTCAACTTACCAACTGGGAGGATGAGCGCAAATGACATCGAATCTCTGTTTTTGGGTTTGTCATTGGAACACTGCAGTTCTGGGGAAGCCATACTGACTTTCAAAAATATGATTTTCATAGACGAGGTTCTTTAAATAAAACGTACAGCCAGCTAGTTTAGCACAAACACTCTAATAAGGGGGAAACACTTAGCCTGACTCGATTCAAAGGTCACTCCACAGTCATTTCTAAAGCTACCTAATTAACGCGCTGTATTTTGGTTGTTTGATCTAATAAAACTACATTTTTTAGTCTTTTTCCCTCACAAATACACAATGGGGTTGTTAGTGAGCTGTAGAAGTGGATGGGGCAGAGCCAAGCTTGCTGTTTTTCTTTGTTTCTAGTCTTTGTATGAAGCTCAGCTAACCCACTAGATGTAGCTTCAGCTTTTCATTAGTTGCATCATATCTTATTCAACTCTGGAAAGCAAATAAGCTTTCCAGAATTATTTTTTTTTAGGGTTTATTAGAGTTTTGCAGATTTAGTTTTGATGAGAACTAACAGGTCACACCAGCTCTCTGTCCTAAAAGCTTATAAATAACCACCTGTGCTTCAACGTGCATATCAGATTGATTTACGTTTTTTTGCAGTTATTATTTCAGTTGTTTCTTTTTTTTTTTTTTTTTTGTGTTGTTGTTTCTTGCCTTTTCTGTTTCTTAGACTGTGTCAAAGGCTACTACAAAAGAGCCAAAGCCCACGCTGCTGTGTGGAATGAAAAGGAGGCCCGGAGAGACTTCAACATGGTGGCTCAACTTGACATCACTTTGGCGTCCCTCATCCATCGAGAGCTGAAGGCCCTGTCGGAGCGCATGAAGGAGAAATATTGGGAGGAGAAGGAGCAATACTGGAATTTCCTTCTTTTTCTTTCGAAGTGTACCTCTGGTGCAAATTACTGACCTCTGTCATCATTTTAAGTGGGGGAACTTGCACAATCGGTGGCTGACTAAATACTTTTTTGCCCCACTGTAAGTCTTTTGGAAAGTAGTGTATGCAATGTAATGTCTTTTGAAATGATGCAAACACAACACTATGTGGGGCAATAGAAGGAGATGTGTAAACTGAGCACAAAAGTTTAGCATGGATATGGTGGGCAGGATTTTCTGGGCTTCCCGACCCAGTTTGAGCACTTGTCACAAAGCTGCAGGGCTCTTTATGAAGCTTAGAAGCATGTAGCCCCCACACAAGCATTGATACATCTTCTTCTACTCTTCTCCTCTCTTATTGTCCTCAGTTTCATTTTTCCAGTCCTTTTCTAGCTGTGTCTTAGTTTCATTTCACACTTCCGTCTCCTTTTGCTCACCACTCTGCTTGCATTCTTCGTGCTGTTGTTGTTCCTCCTGTCATCAGTATCACGTTGTCTGCATGAGTTCCTGTCAGCCACTCGGCTGCTGATTCATCCCTTCAACCCATTTGTTCTTTAGAAAAGGATCACTGCACTGTCTCTGCTTTGCCAGAGGCGACAGTGAAATCTGTTTAACTGCTGGCTGAACGAAGATTTAGCGTAGAGGGAAATTAAATGCGGAGAAACAGGAAAATTCAATTATATGTGTCTATCTAAACTAAACACAAACAGGGGCATTGCAATGTGTTCGCATGGTGTTTCCACATGTCTGCACTTTCCAATTTGGGAAATGCAGTTATTCACTTTGTGGTCTTTAATTAAATGCTTGAAAAAAAAAAACCAACCCCATCTCTGTTCATCTTATTTCGCATGAAAAAACAAAACAAAAAACACTGTTATGCCTTGATTTGGCTTAGCTGTAACTCAACACCTTTGTCTCATTTAATATGTGTAGATCTGTGAATATGCAAATTCTGTCCTGCTTCCTCGGTCAGCTACTACTACCTCCATCTGCCCCCTGCACACTCCCTGTGCACAGTGGTGGTCCAAACTTCAAAACTGAGTGTTTTGTTAAGCACAGGAGGAAAAACCCAGTGTTCAATTTGTAAAGCAGGAGATATGCTGTACAGTGAGGCTGCTGCTCTGCTGGGTCAGGGGAGAGAAAAATTCCTGGAACACACACACACACACACACACACACACACACACACACACACACACACACACACACACACTACCTCGAGCATAGAAAACAAAGACTAGGTGCTAGTTTTAAAAACTAAACAAAACAAATAATTTAGGCAATTTAATACTCGCTGGGAAGCTTTTAGTGCACTTATAGTAAGGTCTCATAATGATGCTTTGTAAGTCTGAGATTTTTAGGTGTACTCAGTCTAGAGAATATCAAAGGAGAGTAAAATAACAGGCCTGTGTTTACACTTCCATGCCTATTTGTCCTTTTAGATATTACGTGGATGATTATTTTCCCCTAAAGTACAACAATTTTCAGCATCTTGACATCCTCCTAACATGGCAATGCTGCACAGCAGCAGCTACACTGAGCTTATGTAAATAAGTAACGAGTAAAGTAAGGGATTACTATTGCAAAAACGGTAATTAGATTACCGTTACTTTCCCGTAGGAACGCTGCGTTACTGCGTTACTAAAACCGTGATTTTTTTGCGAGAATGTCTCATGACAGTGACGTAAGCGAGTGCGACGTTTGTGACAACAGCTGTGTGCAGATCAACAATGGATCATATATCGAGTGCAGAGAGAGTATGAGCGTGCAGCGTTTAAAGCGTGGAAGTACTGACCTTACTTTGAGTTTGATTCCATAAAAAGTGACAAAAACATTAGTGTCCGCTGTGCGTGGGAAGAAAACTTCTTTTTACAGCGAAAAAACCCCTAAACTTCCAACAAGCACCGAGTAGCTACGACGTAATGGGAAACTCACAGAGAAACTCGCGGATTCTTCCACTGACCGCGGCACACCTGCACCAGGGTAAACCTCCGCCTACCCCACTCCTGCTTTACAGGTGAAAATAGAGCAACAGGACCGCTGAGTCTTTGACTTTATTTATTTTCTGCTGTGTTTTACTTGCATCTATTTGAAAGACTGAGTGTAAACACAAAATATTTTATTTTATGTGCTGGAATGTGCAGAAAATAGGTTTAAATGTTAAACAAATTTCTTCCAGTCAGAGAATGTTGCATATAATTAAATTTTTGCTTGATGCATAAAGTTAAAAGATTAAAACTAATAAAACAAGTTTTAAAAAGAGACTTTTCCATTTGATTACATTTTGTATGATGGATTATGCAGAAAAAGTAGAATTGGGCTGAAAGATCTATCACTTTATCACCTATTCAGGTTGTAAATCGTGTTTTTAAAAAGTAACTAAGTAACTAAGTAATTAATTACTTTTGAAAATAAGTAATCAGTAAAGTAACGGGATTACTTTTTTGGGGAAGTAATCAGTAATTAGTTACTGATTACTTTTTTCAAGTAACTTGACCAACACTGGTGCAAAGGATGAAGCAGCAAATGTGCACATTCTGAATCTCTGTTTTTGGGTTTGTCATTGGAACACTGCAGTTCTGGGGAAGCCATACTGACTTTCAAAAATATGATTTTCATAGACGAGGTTCTTTAAATAAAACGTACAGCCAGCTAGTTTAGCACAAACACTCTAATAAGGGGGAAACACTTAGCCTGACTCGATTCAAAGGTCACTCCACAGTCATTTCTAAAGCTACCTAATTAACGCGCTGTATTTTGGTTGTTTGATCTAATAAAACTACATTTTTTAGTCTTTTTCCCTCACAAATACACAATGGGGTTGTTAGTGAGCTGTAGAAGTGGATGGGGCAGAGCCAAGCTTGCTGTTTTTCTTTGTTTCTAGTCTTTGTATGAAGCTCAGCTAACCCACTAGATGTAGCTTCAGCTTTTCATTAGTTGCATCATATCTTATTCAACTCTGGAAAGCAAATAAGCTTTCCAGAATTATTTTTTTTTAGGGTTTATTAGAGTTTTGCAGATTTAGTTTTGATGAGAACTAACAGGTCACACCAGCTCTCTGTCCTAAAAGCTTATAAATAACCACCTGTGCTTCAACGTGCATATCAGATTGATTTACGTTTTTTTGCAGTTATTATTTCACTGTGTTGTTGTTTCTTGCCTTTTCTGTTTCTTAGACTGTGTCAAAGGCTACTACAAAAGAGCCAAAGCCCACGCTGCTGTGTGGAATGAAAAGGAGGCCCGGAGAGACTTCAACATGGTGGCTCAACTTGACATCACTTTGGCGTCCCTCATCCATCGAGAGCTGAAGGCCCTGTCGGAGCGCATGAAGGAGAAATATTGGGAGGAGAAGGAGCAATACTGGAACAAGCTAGAGAAAAATGAAAACACAAAAGAAGTGGGGGAGGCAGAGAGGAATGATGATGAGGAGGAGAAGCAGACAGGAGAGATAGAAGAGGGAAAACAAGAACATCTCGAAAGTGTGACAACAGCGGCAAATGATAAAGTGGGAGATGGTTCCGAAGAATCTCCCCCTGAATATGCAGAAGTTCACAAAGAGAACCTCGGGGAAAATAAGGTTGCACTGACTGAGGGAACAGTTACCAAAGAAGAAGCAGTGAATTTAAACACTTGCAATAAAACAGAAGGCAAGGACTGGCAGCAGATGTTACGACTGGTCATGTTGCTGCAGAATGAGGGAAATTTCCTCATTAAAGAGAACCACTTTCAAGAAGCTTCTGGAAAGTTCAAGGAGGCTATAGAATATGTGGACTGCCTTCAAAATAAAGTAAGTAATTGGTGATTAAGTGAGGGTTTGTAAAAGCGTTCAAGTAATTGTGTTGTCTTTTCCAGGCAATTGAATGTAAAATAGAGCTTTTTGTTGCGATGACAGTACCCAGATGGACATACCACATTAACAGCCACCGGTTCAATCCACTCAGTGTGATGAATAGTCGAACATGCCAGAGAGTAGTCTTGCTAAAGGACCGCGACTCACTGTGGCTTGTAAACTGTAATCATCTGTCATTGTTGCTTTTTTACTGAAGAGCAGCTGTGGCATTGTAGGTACGCTGGCAAAGTGAAGAGCAGAGAAAGTGCTCTGAAAATAACAGCTATCCACAGAGATATCACTGTCACACTGCTTGCCTGCTCTTCTTTTCTCTTTCTTAAACTCTCCTTTCTGCCACACCTCTGTGTCTAACTCCCTCATGCCTTTCACACACAACAAACTCTCCGCTGTCCTCAACCCACCCACTTCCATCTTTATTTCTCCTCATTCTAAATTCCTCTGCCTCCTCCCGGTATCATTTTCCACACCCGAGCTTTTTCGTCGTGCCTCCCAACGCTTTATATATTTGCCCCTACCTTTGTTTCATCTTTTCAACATTTCTCTCGCCATCTATCACTACCACCTCCTTTGCCCTCACCCTCCCACCTACCCGGCTTTCATGTCCACTCTCTTTTCTCTGCAGGTGGATCAACAGGGTGAGGACTGGGATTCGCTGGAGAAAGTGCGTCTTCCTTTGACTCTTAATTTCAGCCAGTGCATGCTGGAGCTAAAACAATACCAGCAAGTTGTGGAGCTCAACACCAAGCTGCTGAAGAAACACAAAGGTAATATTAGAGTGAAAATTGAGTTTGATATAGAAATAGATACTTGAGTATATAAATATACCCCGGTTTAGTGCGTACAGAAAAAAAAAAAAAAACAACCCCAAAAAACCTATCATTTTTAAGCTAAAAAATTTCAAGTTCTCCTGCCAGCCCTCAGCAAACACTCGCCTTCACAGTGCAACAAGCCTTGATCTTTGTGTTTACCAGGGAAAGAAGAAACCAAACATTCACAACCGCAAAGCTGTGTCTATCTTTTGTTCCCTCAGCTCCCACCCATGGACATCACAGTCAAAAATGAATTCATTGTTTTCTTTTTGTTTGTGCTATGATGAATTATTAACAGTTAGGGCGATCTGAAAAGGTTGTTTTATGCGTTTCTTTCCCGTTCATTTACTCCTCTCGTGCGTTCACCTTCTACTACATCTCCTGTCTCACCGCTGGCATTCAGTGTAGTTAACTCCTGTGGTATTTATTTTTATCTTCAACTTTTACGGCTTTCCAGTTTTACTCTTGCCGGCCTACCAATCATTCTTACCTCCTGTTGCCTCTTGTGGTCTTTACGAGTCAATAGTATTGCCATTTATACTTATTCGCTCTCTTTTCTCAATAGGTAATTTCAAGGCAGTGTACCAGAGGGCTCGGGCTCATGCTGCTTTGTGCAATGAGGATGAAGCTCGAAGAGACTTTGATACGGTGGAGAAACTGGACCAGAAGTTTAAACCCTTTGTGCAGCAGGAACTGAGGAAGCTGGGCCAGAGCATGCGTTCTATGCATGCCAGTCAGAACAAGACTTACTGGGATACAACACAGGAGAAGTGGGGGCCTGGTGGGACCAAGCCCACGAGTGCAGCCAGAAAGAAGAACGTCAAATTTCCTCCAAAAGCCACAGAAGGAAAAGCTAAAGCAGATATTAATGTAGATAAGAAGACTGAAGACACTAAGAGCCAGGAGATGGAAAGCTCAGAGAAATGCACCCCTGTCGAGACAGAGGGGGTGGATGGTGCAGAAACAGGGAAAAATCCAGATGTGAAAGCAGAGCAGGGTAATAAAGAGCCAGAGCGTGGGAGAGCGAGTGGAGAGGGGTTAGATAATGAAAGTATAGAGAAGGCCGTGGTTCATGAAGCTGGGCTGGGTGTACCAGATAATCAAGCAATAGATAAAGATAGAGATCCTGCGCCCGCCAGCTCCGGCAAAGATAATGCAGCGAGCAAGAGATCAGTGCGCGATAAGGCGAGAAAGAAGGTAAAATGTCAATCAAGTGCTGCACCACAGCCAAAGAGAACAAACTCAGGGAACAAAGCCAACAGGGCTAAAACAGAAAAGGGTGGCACTGCATCAGAATAGACCAATGAGCCGTTTTTTCTGCGCTGAAGCAAAGGTTTAAGGTAGAAGTCGAGGGCAGACTGAATAACAGAGTCAGAAAAAAAATGACAAGCACACAAGCCTCACAATGGGACATACACAAATCCAAATATAAACACAAAAAGAAAAATTAATATAAAACAGCCTGTATTTGGCACCATTCTGAGTTAACTTTCATTATTCAAATCTCAAAGGGATAACTGCAGTCACATGAAATAAACAAAAAAAAACAATAACACAAGCAGACAAGGAGTTTGCCAAATACAAACTTTTATTTCTGTACACAAAGAGTAGAAAGCAGCCAGTAACCCACTTGTTATTACAGTAAAAAGCCTTTCTTCAGAAACCCCTTTTTATACAGATTAAAAACTCCAGAGAAAAGACGAAAAGAAGTGTTTTGAGTTCTGGACAATAAAACAGGAAATCAAAAGTGTTAAAGAAGTCAAACATTATGATTAATGAGGTATATTAATGGTGATTTAAAAGAACACACAAAGAAGAAAAGAAACCTCATTTCATCAGAAAAAAAAACGAGTGTGTTAGAGTAACAAACTTATATATGTTGCGTGACATACAAGCGCATGTGTCCTTGTTACATATTTAGATGCGTGTTGGTAAACACAGGAGGGAGGGTCTGACACTGAGGCGGCAGATTAACGACAGGGCCCGTGGAGCATGTTGGCAAGCTACATGCAGTAACAGAAGTCTGAGCAGTGATAGCGGTGTCCTCTGGGGGTGACTCCGGCTTATGTAGAGAACCTTTTTTCACCCGGCTTCAGTCATGCCACAGGGAGCAGTGTGTGTTAGTGTGTGTGGGGCAAAACAGGAAGCCACTAGGAGTAAAGAAATGTGCACACGGATGAGACCTCAGATGATCACACAGTCACGCATCATCATTTATTTGGATGGCGGTGTCGAGCAGCAGCAGAGTGAAATGTTGGGACAAACTGTGAATTGCAATGTAACCCTGTAGTATAACTACCTAGTCTATGTGCGTATATGTTTGTGTCATTCTTTCGCCACTATATGGTGTTAAAATAAACATGACAACTGTTGATGTGCAGTCCTACTGGGGGGGGTTGTCTCCCCTTCTTTTTCACAACCTGTCACTGCGCCATCATCTTGTGTACCCACATAGAAACGTATGGAGCAACTGAGAGCAATGGATAATCATCACTGTGTAATGAGATGTGTAAATACCAATAGATAAATGTCTATGAATAAACATCGCTTGTCATGGCTTTTTTTTCCCTCCCACGAGCTGTGCAGCTGCTCTTCGTTCTGAGTTGCGAGAGCTTTAACAAAACAAATTCTCAAGCAGTGCTGATGCGGAGATGGGTTCAACAAATAGTAATGACTATCTTCAGCAGCTTAACAGTGGCAGGCTTCAGTGGAGGTGGACGTGAAGAAAAGGAGAGCTGTGTTTGGGAACCAAGGGCCTCTCTTGCTTCCCTTAAGGCTATTAGCATTTGTATTATGAATGGCACATCACGTTTCCAACTTGCAAACCTGTGGAGCTTTGTCCTTGGGGGCAGTTCCCTAGCAACGGTATCAAAACTAACAGGCAACGAGTGCTGAGGAGGATGGTGTCAAATGCGAGTGCTATGTGCCTGGAGGAAGATCCCATAATGAATGCAGCACATGGGTTTTAAACTCATGTATGTGGGGTCAGAATGATATTTTTAAAGTTTAGCATGGATTCTTCAATGTATATGAGAATGGGGTGGTTTGAGTACGGAGAAACACACAGAACCACAGCTTCATTGTTTCAGGCAAACTTTAGTCCTGCTTCTGGAGATTTTGCTGTGGCAGGCACATCAAAGTGGATCTCTCCCACCAGCCCTCAAGCAATAAATGGATTGTTTTTTTTATGCCTTTCCTCTCTTGTCTCTTAGATCTTTACTCCCTCCAAGCATACCCGGCACCATGGGTTCACTCATACAAGCCTTATTTAACCGGTTTCACCCTATGGATGCTCACATGCTGTGATCCACACTTTTCCATTCCAGCTGTCACTTCCAATCAACCACAGGTCTGTCCGGGGACTGACAGACACTAGTGCACAAACACACTCCTGACGCAACCTCCTTCCCTGAATTTAAAGCATAATGAAAAAAGAAAGAAAACGTGGAGAAAGACTAACTCTTGTCTTTTATGGATTCAACTCGGTTTTAAGGCATTAATTGACTGTGCTATGTTTAGAACAAAATGCACCCTATGAGCTTGATACGATGAGGGTGAAACCATATCAACGACACATCCTTTTGTAAATCTAAAAGCAATTAAGTATGCATTAACATGAGGGGAAATGACACATGCAGAGTCAGTAGCTACTGTTCTTTTCAAATCTACATGGAATGAAGGGATTATTAAGAATGGAGCTGGTGTGGGACTGAGTTATCTTGGTATGCCTTATACCCCCCCTGTAGTTTTTGGAATTAGCATATCGAGGGGTGGGGGAGCTTTAACTTTTAGGAGCTCCTTCTTTCTGTCTGCACATAGCAGGAGAACCCTAAGATCTCAGAGCAGTGGCATGCATGCTGATATTTATCAGCAGACATTTCCTAAACAAAACACAGTCCCATTCACAAAACAAATTGGCTTACCACTGAGAACTTGTTTATATCCTTCAAGATGAAATAGATCTCCATTTTTATGAAATTGGCCTATGGTGTATTTCTGGCGATACATCACAGCACATGTTATCGATCATGCAGGGAGCCATTTGGTTATTTGTGCATAATGTGGGTGGATGCGTGGGGGGTATTGCAAATAGGGGTGCGTGTGTAGCAGCATACGTGTGTGCACATACACTGAGTGCAGTTAGTGCTCTATGGGTGTAAAGGGCTCACTTAGGAGAGGCAAGCAATGAGTGCGACAAGCAGTGAGACAGGATTAGAGGAACACAGTGTGTGCATACAGAGGCGCTGTGCTAGCGGGCACTTTGGCTGTCTCAAATAAGTCATGGATTTAACTGATAATGTGTCATTCTGAAAAAGTAAATAAGCCCGTTGTGGGTGCTGTCAGCTCCTTGACAGTCTGCACCACGCAGCCACATAAAATGTAGTCAGCCCAGCCCTGATCTAGCTTACACGGTTAAGCTTTAGCTCACCTCCTTGTTTCAAAATACAAAAATAACAACCATGACAACACATTCAGGAGGGGGGGGAAACACACACTGAAGATACAGGCATTTTGATAGAAACAATGGATGTCCTTCCTTTTCCCCTTTTTGCATTTTTTTGAGGTTCTTTTCACGGAAGGTCCGATTTGTGCTGCAGACTGATATAAAGCTTCCCACCTCTGAATGACTACACAAATACTGGTAAACACAGTGTCTTGGCTGGGCATTTTCCATCGCTTTAGTCTCTCCCTGACCTGCTGCTAACATTAGTTTCCTTTGGCTCGTTAACATGGTGTCAGGCTGCGCCACTGAAGCTATGAAGCACAGCCTGGCCAAAAGGACATCAGCGTGAGCCTTTAGCAGTTTGCATGAAAAAGGCTTTTAGTGCACAAAATTCCAGTAGAGGGTTAGCTCTAAGTATCATTGCCGCTGCAGTGGTCACATGGCCTGGTGTACTGTGGCCTGACCTCAGCTGCATAGAGCTCCTCCCTCTGCCATCAGGCGTTCTTTCAGGCTTTCTTTCTGCTCCTCCAGGCACACTCAGGGTTAGATGTGTGATGTGGTGCCTGAAATTAGGATATAAAAGAGAATTTAAAGAAAAGAAAAGGGTTAACAAGTTTAGGAGCACATGCAAAGGACCAAGGAAATGTTCTTGGTTATAACTAAGAAGGCTATAATTATTATAATCCCTTTCTTTGTTCAAATTGCAGGCTTTGGATTGCCCAGCAAATTGCATTTTAAATGCAGTGGGGCACTGTGGCAAAGTGTGTGACAGTGACACGCTCTGTCTTTCTCTGCTGCAGTCGCCCTCTTATCTTACTTCTCCTCTCTGCCATTCAATCTTTCCATCCCTACCCCCTCCCCTTCTATCGATCCACACTAGTACATATTTGCTCTCCTCTCCATCTCTCACGGTCCCAAGGGCCATGGGGGGAGCAAAGAAGCTGTCTCTGAAGTGTGGAGTGCTACAGCAGCAAAGATCCATGTAGCCGAAACAAACTCACCAGGTTCTGAAGGGAAGACGTTTCTCAGCTGCTCAATGACCTCCTGGAGCTGCAGCACCGTGTCCTGCTCATGCTCCAAATCATCTCCTGCCACAAACACACACACACGGATTCAAGCCGCCACAGAAAATGTTACTTCTCGGTGAAAAGATAAGGTTTTACATTTAGCATGCATGCATATGTCAAGCCCTCATCTTAGCCTGGCTGCATGCCACTGACCTGCTGCTTCAGTGTCTGTAGTCTCTCTGCTAGCTGGCTCCCCATGGTGTCCTCCTCCAGACACAGGAGAAGACAGGGTTGATGGTTCTGATCCATTGGCCTCTGAATCATCTTTGGGCTGCTTTTGGGAGAGACTTATTACCATTCTTTCTAAATAACCCCTCATATCTATCATATTTCAGACATCAGAGTCATTTTGCCTTTCAGATAGCAATGAATGTGATGTTTAATGGCAGCCGGCAGTCCGCAAATGAGAACTCAGAGAAAAAATATTTAAAAAGGCAATTTTGCCCAACAGCTGTTCATCAGGTTACTGTGATTTGTGCTTTGATAGGTAGGTAAAAGCCAAAGGGAGTTGCACTGCACAGACAAGCATTGCAGAAAACAGACTGACACCACAATGGATGCCTCAATTCAGAATCAAAGGGGGATAGTGTAACTCTCGAAGATCTTATATGCAACATTCCCATGGTTCGTATTGTTTTTAGCAACACTGTGGCAATACTCCAGAGGTGAGTAAGTTCAGTAGCTGCTGCAAAACAGGAGTCTCTGTAGAGACTGGGAGGGATTCATACATATACTTCTAGAGACTACAGACTGCAGATTCTACAGATTTTATTTTCTGAGGAAATGAAACTGTGATATAGGTCCACAGAGAAAAGAATTCAAATAGCTTTTTTCCCTCCCTTTATGTTTTTAACCCAGGAATATGTGCCTCTTGCTCTCTTTAACCTGAAGATGCAGATCCTGTTCCTGTTCTTTCTCCTACTGTCATTTATTCCCTTCATTTTCTCTTTATTCTGTGGCCTGAGTGTGCAGTTTAGAT